GCTTGGTGCATACTACTCCATGATACTGAAACTTTCTAGCACCTGTAGAAAATAGGCAGAAAATGGTGAATTAAGAAAGGGGAGTAGAGGATGAAAAAAGAAAAAGGTGGCAGAAAATTATCTATATGATATTAAATGATCAGCATATAAAGAAACAGGTCAGAAAAATAATATGCAAATAAAAAGCAATTAACCTATAGTTTCAAATGTTGTTTCTACAAAATATTAGACATTAACTTCTTTTTTATCACTTAACTTCCTTTAAAATTAGCTTACCAGAATCATAGCTTGGAGGCTTCATATCTCCCTGATTCAATTCTGTCCCATATTTCAATTTGTGGTATTTGGCTCTAACAAAGAAATGAGAAAATACAAACCATCTTAAAATACATTTAAGTAAACTTTAAGGTATGTAACAGTAGCTGTAAATATTCAGCAGTCCTGGCTCAACATCCCTAGAACTTCCAAAGGCTCATAAATTTCCATGGTATCAAAGTTGTAACAAAAACCACTTGCTTTTTTTTGTTGATGAACCACTGTCATTATAACAAAATAAAGAAATAATACTAGAAAACAATAAATCATTCTTGTAACTACAATGAACTCTACAACATTCTAGTTTCTGTTGTATTCAAATTTTCTTAATGATTGTAAGCCAAATTTTATTATCATCCAATAAAAAAGGTTTGACTGGTAAGTCAGGCTTGGTGGCGCACACCTTTGATCCCAGCACTTAAGAGACAGAGGCAGGCAGATCTCTGTAAGTTTGAGGCCAGCCTTGTCTCCAAAATGAGTTCCAGGACAGCTGGGGCTACAGGGAGACCCTGTTCTAAAAAGTACAGAAAAAAAAAAAAAAAGTTTGTCTGTGAAATTAAACTCAATAAATTAACCTTTACTGGATAATTACAATTCACCAAATATACTTAATAAGGAGCCATCCAAGGGAGGAAAAAAAAACAAATTAAATCGTCAGTGCCCAATGAGATATTCTAGTAGTAATAAATATTTTTCCTTTTCAATATATCCTTTGTCTTTTACTCAGAAAGAACTGTGAATGAGAAGAGTGTCTGATTTCTTTTAAAAGTTGGCAGAATAGTATTATTTATGGTTAACTGGATTTAACTGTTTAATTGAACTATTTCAGAGCTAGGCATATGAGAAAAATAATTCAGAAAAGGAGACTTTTTTAAGTCTAAAAATAGCCATTTCTGCCGGGTGTGGTGGTGCACGCCTGTAGTCCCAGCACTTGGGAGGCAGAGGCAGGCGGATCTCTGTGAGTTCAAGGCCAGCCTGGTCTACATAGTGAGTTCCAGGACAGCTGGGGCTACAGGGAGACCCTGCTTCAAAAAGACAAAAAAAAAAAAAGGCCATTTCTGCTTAATGTATTTGAATATTTTAAATTTTTCTCTATAAAATGAAGTTATTCATAAAAAATTTTCAATGAAGATAGACAATAAGTATGCAAATAAAAATAACAATAATTTCTAGAACTAAAATGAGTAAAGGAAAAGGCAACACAGCCAAATTTGAAAGCTTTTCTTCTTTATAAAAAAAAAGAACACAACATTTTGTGTAATTTAAAAATTATGTAAAAAAATTTACTCAGACATATTTACTAAAATCTACATTATTTTGCAATAACAATAATTTTGTAGTCACACAGAAGTCAAAATTTTTTTTAAATTCATTAGTTTTATATAGGAGGGAATCTTAAGAGTATAGGCACCAAATTATCTAGAACATGTTGCTTTATATTCCCAATGTTTCTTAATCACAAAGACCATCATTGAACTAAATTTTTCCAAGTCTATTTTGATATACTTATAATAGCGGTGATGCTTACAATGCAAGATGTAGAAATATTAATGACTTAACAGTTATAAAAAAGTAAATAAGATTCTTAATATAATTGTCATTCTTCACATTTTCCAGAAACAAATAACAGTATCTCCTTAGAAGTCAGAATAGCAAGTGAATATAACTAGTCTCAGGAAAGATTAAAAGTAGCATCTTTTAAAGAAAAGTAGCTTAATCCCAGTGCTCTTGGGGCAGAGACAGTGGAGCTCTGTGAGTTCAAAGCCAGCCTGGCCTACATAGTGAGTTCCAGACCAGGTGAGGCTACACAATGAGACCCTGTCTCAAAGAACAAAAAAGAAGCAATAAAATGTTATCAATCTTAATTTTTATATAGACAAAAATAATAATAATTAATAATAATAATAATAATAATAACCCTTCCAAAC